ATAATCAACACAGCACTGGAACAGATGAGGAGAAGAACTGTCTGAAAGGAATATGTGATTAAACATTATTACACCTATGACAACAATCTAGAACAAGAGGGAATTGCAAAGAGGACAGGAAGGGGGCAGGGGATGGGGAAGAAGAAGGTGCAACAATGAATGTATGAAAACCCAACCTTTCTGTAAACTTGTTAAAATAAAAAGGAAAACCCAAATGACCTACATAACCCACTTTCAAAATCCCTCTGCTGTCCCATTCTAACCTTATCTGCTCATGATAAATATATCATTCAAATGATTAACTGATTCTTTATGGTTTTCTAAGCAACTTAGGGTTTTGATGACTTTGGGTATTTCTGTTTACAATATTATAAAATAAGGGTAGCATCTCTACCCCATAGGGAGCTGCGATGGCCTAGTGGATAGGAAGTTGCGCTGCCAACTTCAGGGCAGTATATTTGAATCCACTAGTGCTCCTCCAAATAAAGATGGGCAATTTCCTTTTGTGATTTAAACCCTCTGAAAACCTGTTGGAAGGTCACCTACGAGTCAATTCCCAACCAACTCCACAAAGCTATTGTTGTTGTTGTTGTTGTTATATGCTGTCGAGTCGCTTGCAACTCATAGCGACCCTATGTACAACAGCCCTAAACTCTGCTATGTCCTGTGCCAATCGCACTGTCTCTGACACTCCCATCCCGATTACCCCAGTCACTGAATCAATCCACCTCATAGAGGGCCTTCCCCGCCTGTGCTGTCCTTCCACCCTACCAAGCATGATGTCCTTCTCCAAGGACTGGTCCCGCCTTACTACATGTCCAAAGTATGTTAGATGGAGTTTCAGAATCCTTGCCTCCAAGGAGTCACCCGGTTCCAGGATGAATCTGTTTTTCTAGCAGTCCATGGTACCCTCAATACTCTTCTCCAGCACCACAGCTCAAAGGCATCAATTCTCCTTCTATCTTCCTTAGTCACTGTCCAACTCTCTGATGCGTAACAAGTGATAGCAAAGACCATAGCCTGTATCAGACGCACCTTAGTCTCCAGAGAGACACCATTGCTCTTCAGTACTTTAGAGAGGTCCCTAACAGCAGACTTTCCCATGGCAATACATCTTTTAATTTCCTGGCTACTGGTGCCAAGAGTGTTGACTGTGGAGCCAAGCAAATTAAAGCCGTAAAAAATCTCAATCCCTTCACCATCCGTCCTGATGTTGCCAATTGGTCCAGTGCTGAGAATCTTTGTCTTCTTGACATTGAGCCTCAATCCATGTTGGAGGCTGCAGTCCTTGACCCTCTGCAGCATGTGCTTCAGGTCCTCCTCAGTTTCAGCAAGGAGGGTTGTGTCATCTGCATAATGCAGATTGTTGCTAGATCTTCCACCAATCTTGACCCCACATTTCTCCTCATATAGCTCAGCCTCCCAGATAATCTGTTCTGCATACAGGTTGAAAAGGTATGGAGATAGGATGCATCCCTGGCGTACACCCTTCCCAATTTTGAACCATGCAGTGTTTCCCTGCTCTGTTCTGATGACTGCCTCCTGGTCCAAGTATAGGTTTCTCATTAGCACAATCAAGTGTTCTGGGATTCCCATTCTTCTCAGAGTCAGCCACAGTTTGTTATGATCCACACAGTCAAATGCCTTTGCATAATCAATGAAACACAGTATTAAGAAAAGAATCTAACTTTGCTGCACTGTATCTGGCTAAAAAGGATTATGTTTGCTGTGTTGTGCAAAGTGAGATGTGAATGTGGAATCATGATGTTTAGTAATACAGAATGTTAGAAATACAGAATGAAGTTTAGGTTTAGACATTCTTTTTTTTTTTTTAATTATTATTTTGTGTGCGTGTACCGTCAAATCAGATCTGACTGGTACAGGAGGATATTGCACCTCCTTCTCCGGCAGAGCATCTGGTGGATTCGAACCGTGTTCCTCTGGGATTGCAGTGCAGCTTCTTGCCACTAGGCCACCAGAGCTCCCCTAGGTTTAGACATTCTTAAGCAAATGTATTTTATTGTTAAAAGTATATTGTAAAAAAATTTATAAAAAGTATACTGTAAAACAGAATGAAGTTTGTAAAGCTAAAGTTTAGGATGTGAGGAATTATTAAGAAAGTATGGCCGTGTAAAAAGTATATTGTTAGGCATTCACAATGAAGTTTAAAAAGCTAAAGGCTTAGAATGTCAGAAGCAAGCGTGTGCCGGATATGCCAAGAGGAGAATTTTCAGAACGCCCTCAGAATGAGTTAAGGGAGACTAAATGTTAAGCAAGTTATATCAGGCAGAGAGACTAAATGTTAAGAAAAAAAAATGCCATATAAAGCCCAGAGACTAAATGTTAACCAAAAACGCCACCTTGGGCCCAGAAAATTAATGTATTAATCAGAAATGCTAAAATTAAGTCTACAGGTCCTACATGCTAATCTTGAAATGAAACATTAAAAAAAAATTTTTTAAAAGAAACATTGCCATTTTGATTGGCCACCTTTCTAAGAAGGGCCTTGCAGGATAGTAGGTGTTTATCAGAAGAAACATATCAATTTTGATTGGTGAAATGCTGGCTTTGGGAAACCTGCAGTTTGGTTACTCCCTGCACTAAATAATGGCATAAAACCTGACCCTTTGGATGCAAACAGCAGAGACACTGGAGGGATAACAGACCACCTCACTGTCTGACATCTCTCTACTCTCTGCAATGCCCCCTGCTGGATTTTACAATGAACAGTCACTGCAATGAACCAGTTCAGCTAGTTTGAATACAGGATATGAATAATTAGTTGCTGTGTATAAGTGTTTGGATGTTAGTGCTTGATTGATGGTCCTGACCCTTTAGGCCCAATAAGAAGAGTGAGACAGATTGGCAAGCAAACTTTTGAGAAAAAGACTTTTACTTGACTGTCAAGTAAATGAAAATCGGGCTTCCTAGTGACCCAAGAAATTGAGTATATATAGAGCACTGTTAGGGACTGCAATCTTCAATCAGGATTGCATCTCAACATCAAGAAAACAAAGATTCTCACCAATGGGCCAACTGGCAGCTTCATGCTAGCTGGAGAAGAGTTTGAGATTGTTAATGATTTCATCTTGCTTGGATCCATAATCAACACTCTTGGCACCAACAGTCAGGAAATCAAAAGACAGAGTTGCACTGGGAAAGTCAGCTGTCAGGGACTTCTCCAGAGTCTCTTCATTGTTGAAGAGCAATGATGTCAGTTTGGAGATTATGGTGTGCCTGATCCAGTGTGTTGTAGTGCTGGAGAAGAGTGTTGAACCGCCAGGGGAACAAACAGGTCTGTTTTGGAAAGGGTGAAACCAAGTTTCTCCTTGGAGGCTAGGATTTTGAAGTGCCAACCCACATACTTTAGGCACATGGCCAGGAGGGTCCAGTCCTTCGGGAAGAACATCATGCTTGGAAAGGTGGAGCGACAGTTCAAGAGAGAAAAGACCCTGGATGAACTGGATTGTCACAGTAACTGCTGTAATGGGGGCAGGTGTGTTGGAGACAGTGAGATTGCCTCAGGATAGCGCAGGGTTCAGAGCTACTGAGTCGCGGTCGACTCGACAGCACATAACAGAGCAATGTAAAGTGTGGTCTCCATTAGGGTCAACTGAGAACCTGGAAATTCTCCTACATCAAACCTACTGATTCAAAAACTCTGGAAGTAGGACCCAGCCAATGAGAATTTTAACAAGGTCTCCATGTAACTCTGATGTGCAGTACTGTTAGCCTAGGAAATGGGGGGTGGAGGAGCGTAGGGAGGAAACCTAAAGGACCTGAAAAAAAGTGACAATGGAAGGACAGGGGTTTGGGTTTGGTTTTGTTTTTTTTTTTCAAATGGGTGGGGGCTGGGGGTTGAAAAGGATAAGTAATGAAGTATGCATTTATATAGTCAGAAACTCTACCCTGCCCACGGAACTCTCCCGGCAGATAATGGATTCTGACACTCACCTCGGGAACCCCGAGATAAAGTAGCAAAGGCTCTGTCGTTAAGGCTCTGTCGTTTGCCAGCCTCACTATAGCTCTGCAGCAAACGGGCCCCATGTTCCTCAAGGGTTAACGCCTGGAGCCTTGAAAGCCCCCAGCGCATGCGCACTGGCCCACAGACGTAGCGTGCGTGCTTGCGAACGGACAAGCCATTGAGCTGAACTGACCTCCTCGCTGCCTAGAGCGGACCCGGAAGTGGCTGCGAAGTCGCTGTGGTTCTCGGTGAGGACCCGGAGCATTTGTTGGGGTGCAGGTCTGTCTGCTCACCGAAGGTCGGGGATTAGGGGTGGCTTTTAGAGAAGCTGTCAGCGATTTCCTGAGTTTGTGGAGAGTCCAGGCCGCCGAGGCACTAGATCAGGGTTCCTGGGTACGGCTGTCCGGTCTGTGGTTCTTTTGGTGCCTCCTGGTCCGCCCTTGCTGGGCCTTGGGCACAACTTAAAGAACCCCAAGTGCTGTAGGGAGGCGGGTGGAATCAGGAATCCGGGATGCATTCACGCCCATCACCCGATCAGACTGCAGGGAAGGAGGAAAGGAGGTCCTGATGATGGACCAGTCGTCTTGTTCTATAAAGAGGACAGCGAGATTTAACTGGAAAGATAAAAAATTTAAAGTTCCTTTCCTTGCCATCATTTCCATTCATATCGCTATTGTAGTAGCATTTACTGCAATTTTATCTGAATATCGCTACACTTAGGATGCAAAACAGCATATGCTCAACGGTAATGCCTGAGTCCTGGTTAATGGGGAAAGAAAACGTAATAAGTTTTGAAACAAAGGTGCTTGGAAATGAAGTGAGATGTTTTGTCCTTCTCTTTTCTGTGTGAAAAATGTTTCTGGTGGTCGGTCTAGTCTCAAGTTGCACCTCCAGGCTCCTCAATGATTCCTTTCCACGCCCATCGGGTGCCCAGATGCCTCCACGTCTCGGGCTTCTACGTGGGTAAGAAACAGGTGGTAAGAAAATGGTAATTCTTCAGTTGTCCCCTGTGGCATCAAGTGGGCAGCTGCCGCCCATGGAGGTCAAGTGCAATTATGAATCGGAAGGACACCACCTCCTGTCAGGTGAGAAGCAATGCTTAAGATCTTTATTAATGGTTTTGAGGAGGAGAATTTCTACACTTTCTAAGGTCTTCAGATGCTTTGGGTATTGGTTGCCCACATTCTGTTATCCAGTACCATCTCTTTAATGATCTAAGGTGGGTCACCTACAATGAATTCTGGCAATCAAATCTAATACCATTATTCCATATTCTTAGATAATCCATAGGGTATATGGCACTGCCCAAAGCTAGCACCTTTCTGGTGGTTCAGAACCACCAGCCACTCTGTGGGAGAACACTGGGCAATCTCTTTCCTATACAGACTCTGAAAACCCACTGGAGGGTCAGCTATGAGTCATTTCTGATTTGATAGTAATGAGGAGTGAGGGAGTAATTACTTCATAACTAGATAAATCAAAACCTGGGACCTAAAACAGAGGCATCTTCAAGCCATTTTCTTTTCTCTTAATTCTATAGTTTGTCAACTTGGGGTGAGTCTAACTGGACAGGTTTTCTTCTAGTTTTCTCTTCAATCCCTGTGGTTGTCAACCTAGTGAATAAATTTGGGAATGTGGCCTACCATCGTTGTTAAATACCGTCAAGTTACCTATGAACAATGGATCTGAACCCTGCCCTGTCCTGTGCCGTCCTAACTTTCTCTGACATCCTTGAGCCGACTCTTACAGTCCCTGTGTCAATCCATCTCCCTGAGAGTCTTCCTCTCCTTCTCCACCTTTCCAAGCATGATGTCCTTTTCCAAAGACTCTCCCTTCCTAAAAACATACCCAAGATATGTGAGCGAAAGGTTTCACTGTCCCTGCCTCCAAGGATCACTCTGACAGCACCTTTTCTCAAATATATTTGTCCTTTTGGCAGTCCATAGGGTATTTAGCACCTTTCTCCAATATTACAAGTCAAAGATGGTCAAACACTTATTGGTCTGTTGCTCCTGCCTGTTGTTCCGAGCAGATTACCAAAACACAACTCTAGTTTTGGTGACCTTCCATCAGGTTTCAAAAGGAGAAAGGACACTCTCTTCCCATTGAGTTCTGACTTGATGGTAATTAGTTATAGGTCTAGTGGAACCCTCGCTGAGAAAGGCTGCATACACAAATTATAGCACACACATTTGACTGACTACAGTGTACCTTAATTTAGTATTTCTTAGATAAAACAGAGGCTTTGTAATATTGTTAATTGTGTTTATTTTCTTCCTCTTGTAGTATCTAATTCCATATAAATTATAAACTCCATAATACATTTGTGTTGCTTTAACCAATTAGTACACGTTTAAATTAACCCACATGTACTTAGTCCTCAACCTCTGACAAACTCAGTTTATAAGGAACCACACTTCCAGTAATCTATTTGAGGGTGTGTTTTGTTACATCTTGTTAGTAAAAGATATTACATTCATTAAAACATATTCAAGTCAGAATAGACTCGTTCCTAACCCTCTACTGGATTTTCAGAAGCAGTTATTCCAGGGGAGGAGATGGCCCATCTTTCCCACAGAGCCGCTGGCAGATTTGAACAGCGTGCATTCGGAGTTACAGCACAGGTTCTTACCACTAGGCCACCAGAACTCCCTATAATTTGGTAATGTTACCATTCTTTGCCAGCTCCCTAAGACAAATAAAGATTGGTCGCATAAAGATACTGACAATAAATGGCAATTGAAAAAAAAAAGTATTCAACTGGGATCTTAAACAACTTGCCAAGGAGTCACTGGGAAAGACCCCATCTTAAGTTGAGGACTGCCTGTCTAGTTTTTACAGTATCCATCATTCTTAAAATACTTTCTTTCCATCTAAGGTTTTTCCACCTTCTTGTATTCTCATAATTTTTGTTTTGTTTTGGGGTTTTTTAAATGCAAGACTGTTGGTAAGAAATTTTCTTTGTTTCTATAAAATATATTTTTCTTACTATAAAATTCTAGATTGATTCATTTTGTTTTTTAACATTAATTAAAATTTATTAATGCACTTAATTACAATGTCCTTACATTATTTGGAACCCAGTACATGCTCTGCTAGGTATTAACAGCCATTTTTTTCCCCTACCATTTTTCTAAAAATTGAAAGATGATAACAAAGTAATTGAAAGATTTTGTTTTCCTTTCATTCATTCATGCTTTTGGCCCAGATAGCAGGGCAATGATAGATAAAGCCCAACAAATTCTTCTTTTTTTTTTTCTCAACTCTCCCATCTCCCATTTACCTTCTGTAGGTTTATATATACTAATTTAGGCAGTTCCCTAATCACTGTACTGGTTCACATGATCTGTTACATGTTGATTCTTCCTCATTTACATCTCTGAGGGTAATTTTACATTGTTTTGGAGCACTCACCTGTTATGTCGATGTTTTATAGGTATCAGTAAATACTGATCTCTTTCACCTGAAACTTTCTCCCAGCATGATGAGTATAGTGTATTTGGACTTTATTTATTATTGTTCCAGGTGGCGAGACAAAAAACAAGATTGGAGAGTCACCTTCAAAGGAGGAAATCTCAGCACAAATTCGATCATTGGCTAAAGAGTCTGGCACTTCCAGAGAAGATGTGCTCCGGGATTCTGATAGCAGAGCCATCTGTGAGTTTAGGGAGAAATTAAATGAAAAAAATCAGAATCTTTTTAAAAGTAGTCAACATAACTGTGATGAAAGTGGACAAAACACTGGTGGGAGTAAAGGCATTATTAGGCATCGAAGACTCTGTTGGGAGAAACCGTATGAATGTGATACGTGTGGAAAGGCCTTTAGTGTAAGTTCAGCCTTGGTTCTACATCAGAGAATTCATACTGGGGAGAAACCCTATCCTTGTAAATGGTGTATGAAAAGCTTCAGTCGGAGCTCAGACCTTATTAAACATCAACGAGTCCACACGGGTGAAAAACCTTATAAATGTGGTGAATGTGGTAAAGCCTTCAGTCAGAGCTCAGACCTTATTATACATCAGAGAATCCATACAGGAGAAAAGCCTTATAAGTGTAATCAGTGTAGTAAAAGTTTCAGCCAGCGCTCAGACCTGGTTAAACACCAGCGAATCCATACTGGGGAGAAGCCTTATACATGTAATCAGTGTAATAAACATTTCAGCCAGAGTTCTGATGTAATAAAGCATCAAAGAATTCATACTGGTGAAAAACCCTATAAATGTGATGTGTGTGCAAAAGCCTTCAGCCAGAGCTCAGATCTTATTTTACATCAGAGAATCCACACTGGAGAGAAACCATATCCATGTAGTCATTGTGATAAAAGTTTTAGTCAGAACTCAGACCTCATCAAACACCAACGTATCCACACTGGAGAAAAACCATATAAATGCAGTGAATGTGGAAAAGCTTTTAATCAGACCTCCGTTCTGATTCTGCATCAAAGAATTCACACTGGAGAGAAACCCTACCTGTGTAGCCAATGTAACAAGTCTTTCAGTAGACTGTCAGATCTTATTAATCACCAACGAATTCACACTGGTGAGAGACCTTACCCATGTAATCAGTGCAGCAAAATGTTCAGTCGAAGATCAGATCTCGTTAAACATCAAAGAACTCACACGGGTGAGAAACCCTATGAATGTGAAGAGTGTGGGAAAACCTTTAGTCAGAGTTCAAACCTCATTCTGCACCAGAGAATCCACACTGGAGAGAAGCCCTATCCATGCAGTGACTGTGCTAAACATTTCAGTCGTCGTTCAGACCTTGTGAAACACCAACGAATACACACTGGAGAGAAACCCTATACATGTAATCAGTGCAACAGAAGTTTCAGTCAAAGCTCAGACCTCACAAAACATCAGCGAGTGCACTCTGGAGAAAAACCCTATCGTTGTGATACTTGTGAAAAAGCCTTCAGTCAGAGCTCTGACCTTATTCTTCATCATAGAATTCACACCGGAGAAAAGCCGTATCCATGCACGCAGTGCAGCAAAAGGTTCAGTCAGAACTCAGACCTTACCAAACATCAGAGAATCCACTCAGGGGAAAAACCTTACAGATGTAACAAGTGTGAGAAAGCTTTCAGTCAGTGCTCATCCCTTATCCTCCATCAGAGAATCCACACTGGTGAGAAACCATATATGTGTGATCAGTGTGGCAAAAACTTCAGTCGGCGCTCTGATCTCCTCACCCATCAAAGGCTCCACGCCAGTGAGAAGCCATATGAATGTGACGTGTGTCAAAACTCCTTTAGCACTTGCACGGATCTTACTGAACACCGGCGAATCCATGCTGGAGAGACACCTTACCAGTGTGCTCACTGTAGCAGAAATTTTACCCAGCTCTCTGATCTTACTAATCATAAGAAAGTCCACACTAGGGACAACAGTATAATTGCAAGTATGGGAAAATCTTCATAGCATACATCAGTTCTTTTCCATTCCATACCCAGGGAAGATGTTGTGAATGATACTGATGATTATGAAAAAGACTAGGCAGTCCTCAGATCTTATATTACGCTAAACAGCTGTGACCACCATCACCCAGAAAGTACATATGTTAGGAGGAGACATTCATTTCCATGATGAAAGTGTTGATTCAGAGGGCAAGCCAACATCACTAAGAAAAATTCTGAAACTAAATTGTGAAATAGTAATCTTCCATAAAGTAAAAATTTTACTTAATGTCAATAGGAAAAAGAACCTAACATTGAAATCATTTTTTTTCATATTTTTATTATTTTTTGTGTGTGTACCGTCAAGGAGGAGGAGATTGCCCCTCCTTCTCCAACAGAGCATCTGGTGGATTTGAACAATTTTTAAGAAAAGTTCTAGTTTTTAATTCCAACCACTTAAAATAAAAAATGTGTAACAGTACTAATGCAAAATCGTATTAGATAATGGGAGAAAATGAAGGTGGGGAGGAAGGTAATCAACACTCAAAAAAGAACTGTAACAGTGCTATAATCTCTTTGGCCTTTATCATGCCCAAATTAAGTTACAGCATATAACCAGCTACTGTAGAATCTATTCTGACATTCTGACTCTGTGACCTTCATGAGGTTTCTGAGGCTGTAAATCTTTGTGAGCAGAAACCAGCCATCTTTCTCCCAAGGAACATCGTGGTCCTTTCAAACCACTGATATGTTTCCATACTATGTTACCAGGGCTACTTTATTAAACATAAGTTATAATACAGAATCTATAGAAAACTTACATTTCCTCCATATCTTAATTGGTTTTCAGTCAGCTATCACACCACCTGGCAACTGGGAAGCCCTAACTTATGCTAATGTTATCTGTCTTTAAATTTCCTGTATGTAAACATGTTACACTATTCTGATACCGAACTAAATAATTAGATAATTCAGTACATCCTTATTTTTGGGGGGCAGGGGGTCTGGGGTTGATTATCCTAATGAGCATGAGTCCCTATAATGTTCTCTGCATATATTATTTGTTTCACTGTATATGCAGTCTGTGAACTGTAGTTGTTTTGAAACTACTTCATCAACACTGTCATTTAATTGCTAGCAGCATCTAAAAATATGAAACAACTTTTAGTAAAAGAATTCTATGTAGTAAAGTGTAAAAATTTCTCCATTACTGTGTTTATTTTGTCATTTGAAGATTGAACAAAATTATAACTATAGTCATCCCTAAGTATTACCTAAAGTAATGTTGTTATGTGCCATCGAGTCAGAACCAACTCATAGCTGACCCTCCAGTGAGTTTTCAGAGACTGTGAATTGCATGGGTGGGGAGTGCCCATCTTTCTCTCAGAGCAGCTAGTAGGTTTGAACCATGTGCCTTTGCCTTGGCAGCGCACTTTCCACTAGGCCACCAAATCTGCTCCTAAAGTAATATGTAATAATAAAAGGGAAAAATGTATAAAATATGCTATGTGAAAATTAAAAGACTATTTTTCAAGTGACAAAGTTTATCAGACTTTTTTTCTTACATTTATAGTGACAAGTTTACATCTATGAAAATTTTCCACCAAAAACTGAACAGGTTTTGATATAAGCAAAAATTCGCATCGATAGACATTATAGGCAGTTTCTGGTGTTACTGGATGCAAGGGGGCCTTGTGTTTCCACATTTGTGTTCCAATATGACTGAGACAGATTGGGATATCCAGAGCACTTCCATTTCAAATCTAGGGTCACAGTGAAGTAACCCTCCAAGACTACCGCTCCCGGTCTCTTGGACAGTTCTGGAATTTATACTTGGGTCATTTATTAATTTCCTTAATATATACTGCCTCTTACTCAAAGTTACAGGGCTTTTACATTCAAAAGGATAGTTTACACACAGTTCCCAGTAAACGTACAACTTAAGATACAGTTCACATGTGGTTAGGAAAAAGAGTTTCAAAAGAAATGCATTACACTCCCTGAGGGCAAGAGAAATGGTGTCTTTTTATCTCAGCATTGGATGCGCTAGCATAAAGAGAAACATTTGTTCAGGATATTAGGTGAGGTCTTGAGGCTGGGGATTTTTGAAAATCCCACCAGGAGTTAATTCCTTAGGCAATTGACATGACTACAAAGAAGATGAAAAGGTCTTAGCACAAAACCAAATGCTAATGAGTAGGTTTAACCAGTCTTGCAGGGTGGAATGAGACTAAAGTTTTAGATTCAAATCTTTAAATATACTGTATTCTATAATTTTAAAACAATCCTGAATTTATTGATGCTACCTTATCACTGGTGTTACAACCATCTGGTTTATATATAGTCCAACCTTTAATTATAAACACCATAGCATTAAACGTTCTAGATACATACAGTGGTTCCTGTTAGGCTAGCAGACTTCAGAAAAAAATCAGCGAACTAGAGAGAAAGCTTAAAAGCAGCTTTATTAAGGGGACTCCCAGGTAAGGTTCCTCATTCTGAAGATAAAGAGCTTATTGGGGAGATTTTTTATAACAGGATCTTTAGGGAGGGACATTCCATTGTGATTTATGTTATTTATCCATTAGTTCTGCCAGGTGAGCATTCCGTTCACTGTTCTTGTGGATGTGTGTATTCTTTGAGTCCTGACCTAATAACAAAGAGGCCCTACTTTGCTACACATATCAAAACATTATTACTACTGATGTATTATTAAAGATGTTGTATTGAGAAGTGTTTCTTTTAATGCACAGAAAGGTACAAACCATACCTAACAATTCTGAATTAAGTATAGACTTGACTTAAAGACAGATTTTGGAATGGAATTCTTTCATAATCCAAGAATGATTTGGTAATGATTTGTTGAAAGTCTGCATTGGTTTCTTTTTAATATCCTCTGCTTATACAGTCAGTATTTAGATTTAACTTGCATTGTTTATTGATTGTGTCTAAGGCTTATTGATTGTGTCTAAGGTTTATTGAGTGTGTTTTGTTTTGTTTTGGGTTTGTAGACTATTTTACGAGTGTCAACAAATATAATAGAGATCGATGTAAAAAGAAAACAGCTCACAAAGGTAGAACAACACGCATGTATGTGCTCACAAATTGAAAATGGAAATCTTTTTGGAGCTGTTGAAATCTGAGTTTTGAAGGATGGAAGCAGGGATAAGCCTAAGAGGGAAGAGTCAACATAGGCGTGGAGAAAAATAACATAGATATGACCTTTAGTCATTAATAAATAATACTGTATGTGAGGAAATCTCAACTGGAAGAGATCTATATTTGATCCCATCCCAAAGAAGGGCGACCCAACAGAGTGTGGAAACTATAGAACAATATTGTTGATTTCACATGCAAGCAAGATTCTACTGAAGATTATCCAAAATGACTGAAACAGCACATCAGCAGAGAACTGCCAGAAGTCCAGGGTGGGTTTAGAAGGAATTGTGGTACTAGGGATATTGTAGCTAATGTTAGATAGATCTTAGCTGAAAGCAGGGAATACCAGAGGAATGTATATCTGTGTTTCATTGATTAGCAAAGGCGTTTGACTGTGTGGATCATAACAAACTGTGGCTGACTCCGAGAAGAATGGGAACCCCAGAACACTTGATCATTCTAATGCAAAACCTATACTTGGACCAAAAGGCAGTGGTCAGAACAGAGCAACGGAACACTGCATGTTTCAAAAGTGGGAAGGGCGTATGCCAGGGATGTGTCCTATCTCCATACCTTTTCAACCTGTATGCAGAACAGATTATCTGGGAGGCTGGGCTCTATGAGGAGAAGTGTGGTGTCAGGATTGGTGGAAGATTCATCAACAGTATGCATTATGCAGATGACACAACTCTGCTTGCTGAAACTGAGGAGGACCTAAGTACTTGCTGCAGAGGGTCAAGGACTATAGCCTCCAATATGGATTGAGGTTCAGTGTCAAGAAGACAAAGATTCTTACCACTGGACCAATTGGCAGCATCAGGATGGATGGTGAAGAGATTGAGATTGTTCACAGCTTTAGTTTGCTTGGCTCCACAGTCAACACTCTTGGCCCCAGTAGTCAGGAAGTTAAAAGACATTGCCGTGGGAAAGTCTGCTGTTAGGGACCTCTCTAAAGTACTGAAGAGCAGTGGTGTCTCTCTGGAGACTAAGGTGCGTCTGATATAGGCCATGGTCTTTGCTATCACTTGTTATGCATCAGAGAGTTGGACAGTGACTAAGGAGGATAGAAGGAGAATTGATGCCTTTGAGCTGTGGTGCTGGAGAAGAGTATTGAGAGTACCACGGACTGCTAGGAAGACAAACAGATTCATCCTGGAAAGGCTTAAACCGGGTGGCTCCTCAGAGGCAAGGATTCTGAGACTCCATCTTACATACTTTGGACATGTTGTAAGGAGGGACCGGTCCTTGGAGAGGGACATCATGCTTGGTAGGGTGGAGGGACATCTCAGGAGGGAAAGGCCCTCTATGAGGTAGATTGATTCAGTGACGGGTAATTGGGATGGGTGTATCAGAGACAGTGCTATTGGCACAAAAGAGAGCAGAGTTTAGGGCTGTTCTACATAGGGTCGCTATGAGTCACAAGCGACTCGACAGCACATAACAACAATCAACGTGAGGAAAAGGGGGGGCAAGGGTATTTGTCATTCACAGTCTCCCATATTTCCATTTGTGTGCCAACGTACCTTAGGAAAAAGGTATCTTATGAGAAATCTTACATAAAGATTAGCCAACAAAATCCTCTGGAACGCAGTTCTTCTAACACAGAAGGTCAACAAGTTGCTTTCACTGCAGTGTTGATGTTTTATTTCAAAAAGATAATTTTGATTCTTTTGGAATCTAGATTTTTGGGTACCTGGAATTGGGGTGGCCCACACTTATGGTGTCCTGTTGAAACCTGAACTGATTTGCTTGAATCACCTTCAAATCAAACAGCTTAGCAAACAACTTTGTGGAGAGTGACATTAGAGTCTCTTGGAAAACTGGAAATGTCCTTTGCTTTCAAGTAGCAGCAGCTCCAGGTCCTGACTAGAATTAGGATTTCTGTCCTTGGTGACTGCTTCTGTAACATACTATGTGCTTTGATGCTATCTCTGGAGAAATTAAGCCACACTCTTTCACTGACACCTCTTTTAACCCTTCAAATCATGTCAACTTACATTCTAACAGTAATTTTTGTGTATTTTTTCTCAACAATATAGGTTTTAGAAAGTTCTTTGGGGATTGGTGGGTTTTTTTTTTCTTTTTTCCCCCCCGTTATTTAGTTTAATGTACGTTTACAGAGACTTTGGATTTCCATTAATTCATTGTTGCACACTTTCCTCACTGCTCACCCCTCCCCCCAGTTCGCTTTTCTCTTTGAAAAGTTAAAAAAGATATAAATTGTTATACAATCCCCCTCCCCAGTCCACTCCACTCTGCAGCTTTCATTCTGCACTCTTGTCATGACAATAATACCTAATCATATATTCCTGTATCCCATTTCTGAAAGCTGCTTGATTTCAAGCAGCATCTAAAGCTGTCAAAAAGTTAACGTCCCTACTACACAGCTAACAGAGAAACGCAATCTAAATTGTTTAGCCCGTTTATTTACCTTTTGGGACTGTGGAATATAACTGGAACTACAGAGAAATCGGAATAATTTTCTGGGAAATTAATGGCAAGAAGAGTTGAGTGGTGTGTGAGCTCCAGCATGTGTGTGCAGGAGGACCAAGTGCAGCAAAACCACAGCGGCTCTATCCCGAAGGAACAGGGCCCGACACAGCCTGGAGATCTTGCCCCGCCTCCCGTGGGCGTGACCATGACGATCATTGGCTGCCTGTGATCCAGGGGCGGGCGGAGAGCGGAAGTCCGAGCAGCATCCTTCCGGTCTTTGTGGCTCCGGGCTCTGGGTTGTGGCTTCCTCCCTTGTTGCTCCTGGCCTTGGCGGTGAGGGGCGCGGACCCCGAGGGGAGGGAGGCTGGAGGGTTCGCCGCCGGGAGGTGGGCGCCGGGTGGGGGAGCCCTGCCCTTCGATCAGCCCGCCCGGGGTCGTGGCGACGGTGCCGAGCATCTTGGAGACGCAGAGGATGCTGCCACTCAGTCCTCTGCTCTCCGGCAGAAGTTATTCTCTACACCCAGGTGACTTTGCAAAGGCTTTCAATTAGCCGCCGTTGTAAACTGGAAAGGTTAGTGTAGCCAAGCTGGTAAATTAGTAATTGTAGTTGGTTTCAAGGTAACCATAAATCAACGTTAAATTTCACCTATTTGCCCTGCTGCAGGATTTTAGAGCATAGCCTCTTGTCAATCATGTTTGGTCAGTACCACAACGTATCTACGTAATTACTTACTGCCAGATTTTATTCTTAAAATTTCTAGTCAATATCTTCGATGCTTTTGAGGACTGAATTAGTACTTTTTCCTGCTTTTGGATATGTGATAAACACTTAACCCAATACTGGTTAATTTTCCCACAGACTCAGTCCCCTGGCAGGATCCTTTATATTCTGGTACCTTGCAAAGGACAGATCCCAGAGTAAGTGACACAGTGTTCAGGTAATTCTGTGATTTCCACTAGGATCAAATTGTGGAAAATACTTAACATCTTTCTGGAGGCAAGGATCTTGACTCTCCACCTTACTTTGGGAATGTTGCCAGATAGAACCGGCACACTGTGACTGGGGTAAAAGGGGCAAGTGTGTCAGAGACAGATTGGCTGAGGATGGGACAGGGTTCAGAGCTATTTTACATAGGGTCGCTATGAGTCACAGGCAACTGGACAGGACATAACAACATATTTAATGGGAAATTTAAAATATGTCTTCTTAGAACTTTGGCATGGGCATGTTTTTCTTTGGAAAAACACATCATTCTGAGAAAGCTGGAGGACCAGAGAAAGAAAGGAAGACCCTCAAAAAGATGAATTGACAGTGACTGTAACAGTGGGCTCAAGCATATCAGAGATGGGTAGTGCAGGACAGGGCAACATGCATCGCAGATGATAGGATAGTTATAAGTCATAGTAATCACGGAAGGCAACAGCAGCTACCTTAAATGAGTATCAACATCACTTGCTATAGATAGAAAATAACTGAAACTAAATGCTTAATCACTACTACAATTAGTATTACTAATTTTTATCTAGATGGCCTCAGAAGTCTAAAGCTTGTATTCTTGAAAATTAAATGCTCAAAGTTTACCAACTTATTAAGACATACTAATAGCTATGATTTTTTTCCCCCCTTGATAAAGTCAGACTTGAAATTGAAATGAAAAGTAAGTAGTTTTCTCATCCTATGATTAATTTAAGGGCATCTGGTGACCTAGTGGTAAGAAGCTGTGCTGCAATCCCAAAGGCAAGCGGTTCAAATCCACCAACTGCTTTATGAGAGAAGGATGGGCGGCTCTTCCCTGTGATTTACTGCCTCAACTAGGGGTTGGTTCTAACTTACACAACATTATAATAGCATTGTATCCTTTAACTAAAGTAGCATTAGGCATAAGATTCTTTTTTTAAGAGTTATTGAATAAGGTGACTGATTTTTACTTTGCCATTTGATGATTTATTTAGTTGCAGTCTCTAATATGCCTTTCCATAAATTATTGGAGTAAATACTGTCGTTTTGTGCTGTCAAGTTGGCACTGACCCATAGCTGATGATGTTAATTATTTATGAGTTCTTGGAGATATTTCTTCACTACTCTAAGTTAACAGTGCTTTTGTATCCTTCAGGAAAGCTTTTGGTAGAAGAAATACTAAGGAAGCTGTGAAGCACAGAGCCCAGTTCTGGTGAGCTTTCTGCCAAGCTCTTTCAGCCTAGAATGGCTGTGGAGTCCAGAGCACTTTCAACCCTGGTGGCTGATTCTCAGGAACAGGAGGAGCTCATACTCGTTAAAGTAGAAGAGAGTCTTTCCTGGAGCCAGAAATCTAAGCAGGATGGCTGTGCCCAGTCCTGCCAAGAAATGTTTCGCCAGCAGTTCCGAAAGTTTTGCTACAGGGAGACCCCTGGGCCCCGGGAGGCTCTGGGGCGGCTGCGGGAGCTTTGCCATCAGTGGCTGAGGCCCGAGCTGCACACAAAGGAGCAGATCCTGGAGCTACTGGTGCTGGAGCAGTTCCTGAGCATCCTGCCTGAGGAGCTGCAGGTCTGGGTTCAGCAGCAGAGTCCAAAGAGCGGGGAGGAGGCGGTGACCCTGCTGGAGGATTTGGAAAGAGAGTTTGATGATCCTGGGCAAAAGGTGAGAATAAGGAGAGGTGCAGTGTTACGGAATAAAGAATTTTCAGGATGGAACATTTGTTACCAGTGTAACAAGCCAAATCCAGAGCCATCGCCATCAAGTCGATTTTGCCTCATGACACGTCAGATTTTCAAGGCTGTAGATTAGGATGAGAAGGTTGCCGCCTCTTTCTGGCGTAGAAAGGATGGTGGATTTGAATCGCCTTCCTTGTTGTTAGCAGGCTAGCATGTAACTCTGTATGCCAGCAGAGCTCCTTAGCATCATCATCGGCATATTTGTTCATAGCTGCGTAGTTATCTGTGCTTTTATAATGAAAACACCACAGGTGGATAGGCTTTTTAAAAAAAAAAAATGACATACACACACCCCATGTTTGGGAGCCGGCTTAAAGTTTAAATTGGGATGCCCAGTTAAGGGAAGACTTTCTCTCTGCCCCACCTTCTTCCCCTCACTTTCTCCCTCTTCCCTCCCTTTCTACTTTCCTTCCTACCTCTCCCTCCCCCTTACCCCAGCCCCTTCTAGAGGAAGGTCCCTACCTAATTGGAGATTCCATGTGATTTGGCATCTGTCTTAACCCATCTCTGACTCTTGAAAAAATAACTCCTGGCCTCAAGTCAGTTCTGACTCAAGCTACCATGTAGGACAAAGTAGAACTGCCCATATTGTTTCCAAGACTTAACTGTCTTGTGAAGAGGTCTCATCATTGTCTCATGGCTGTGAATCAGAACAACTTGTAGCTGACCCTCAAGCAGGTCTTCAGAAACTCTAAATTGCCCTGGAGGAGATTTCCCATGTTTCTTCTAGGGAGCAGGTGGTTTCAGACCTTTGGGTTGGCATCATATCCAAGTATATGAGATGACATTTTGTCATTTTTGCTTCCAGTGAAGACTCTGGCTGCACTTTTTTCCAAGCCATATCTATTTGTTCTTTTGGTAGTCCATGGGATATTTAATACTCCCAACACCACAGGCATAGAGGTCTGGACTTACATAATTGGGGAATACAGTTTCATCTGTAGCCCTGCTAGAAGGTGAAAAGACTGTTGGGCCAGTAGAAGTCTTTATCCTTAGATGGTTCTTTTTCCAGTATCCCTATTCTGTAGAGGTTGTAGATGAAATCGGAGATTTTTCTTCAGCAGTTTCCCTAGGTGTACTCTACTAAAGCTAATTGCTATTTTATTGTCTTCAGGTTCCAGCCAGTCCAAAGGGTCCAGCAATGCCGTGGAAGGATTTGACACCTCTTGGAGCATCTCAGGAGTCAACAAACATCCACCTCCACCCTCTGAAGACACAGGTGAAATCCTGGGGACCTTGCCTCTCCCCTCAGAATGGTAAGGAATAAGTAGTTATCTGGGGTCTTTGATTAATTAAGCCCTCTAGAGATTTAGGGGCCAAGATTGATTGCATTTCTTAAATATGCTCTGTTTGAGTGTGAGCATCACTATTAACTATTTTAGACCAGGAGTGCTCACGTCACCAACCTTGTTTCCAACAATGGTCATAAATAGCTGTCAGCTCTCTTTTGTCTTTTTATCTGTCATTGTTTTCTTAATCATTCATTTCATCAATTTATAGTTTAATAGAGTGAATAAATGGCAGAAACTGTGCTAGGTTCTCTACCTCAAGGAGCTTCAACTCTGCACAGAGTAGCAGGTAAACAAGCATTACAATATAGCTTAGTACTTTTGGAATAAAGATAGGCACCAGATGGTGGCTCAGTAGTAGAATTGTTCCTTTTAACATGGGAAAAAGCACTGAATGTGCAGCTGCCATCCCACTGCTGTGAGTTACAGATATAGCACCCCTGGTACTTAAAGGCTTTGGGGGTTTGAGCAGAGGAACCAAACTAAGGTAGACTTAGTAGGAAGGCCTGGTGTTCTCCCAAATATCAACCACTGACTACCCTTCGGATCACGGTATTCTGAACCTGTCATGCACATGGTCCCCATGAGCTCTGGACTGAACAGAAGTTAACGACAATGGTTCAGTGCGAGCACATGAAACTGTACCTAGCACAGCGTTAGAAGTTCAAGGAACACTTCTGGAGAAAGAAAGCAGCCCTGCAGAGAGAGCAGCCCACCTCTCTTGGATGGGAGCAACACCCATCACCTTCCCTCTGCCTCCTGTCCACCAAGCAGTGTGAGTGAGGGAAGGCCCACTGAGTGGGGAGGAGGACTATCCCAAATAAACTTCACAAAGCCAAGTGAAAGCATCCAGGCTACTCTGGGTCTTGTGGGCAGTGTCTGAGTGGAGGACTGGTGAGGAGGGAGTGGTGTCCAGGTGGTAGAGATGCCAGTGTCATACTAATTATTGTGTGTAATTGAAGAGTGACAGGATTACATCTAGCTGCTGCATGATGCAGAAGGGATTTGAAGAAGGCACCAGTAGAGTCCTGGAGTTGTGTTAAAGACTTTTACGATGCAGGTGTCCACAGTGAAAAAATCAAAATGATAACCTCTACTTACAATCTGGGATGATCAAACCTGACTCTTGTTCGTCAGTGTTAAAAGTTTAAAGTTTTCTTACAGATGAGAGATTGTTAAAAATGAAGGGTAATGGTAGAGTTTGACTGACTCTCAGCTTTCTGTCTTGAGAAGTCTGGTTAATGGTAGTACTAACCATCTACAATATAAATATGACACATATGATTAAGAACTCCACTACTAGCCAAAAGGTTAGCAGTTCAACCCCCATCAAAGGCAACTGGGAAGACAAGCCTGGCTTGTGATCTGTTTGTCAAAAACCAATGGAGCAGAACACCCAGACACGTGGGGTGCCTCTGTGCATCACAGCCACCTTGACAGCAGCTAACAGCAGTTCATGGAAATAGGAAGATTGATACAGTTGACGATTAACATAGATTTTAATTACATGAGCCCACTTATAGTGGGGTTCTCAGATGTGTGCACGCTGTTATTACTGTGAGCCCAAGCCTAATGATCTCCACCTGAGAACATGTTGCTAATCATGTACTGAGAGGCAGAGACAGTTATGAGAGATGATACACCCTGAGCTGGAGACAGTATCACATCTTATTTTCAGTGGCTACTAGTAACACCTGACCTCACTGCAATTCCAATTGAGGGGGGCGATCCACATTTAAGAGGGTCTTCACTGTTCAACCAGAGTTCAAGTGTCTGCTTGTGCAATTCAAACCTGTGTTCAAGGCTCACTTAGTAGGTTATACATGAATTTTGAACTGTGTGGAAAATCAGCACTGCCAACTCCTGTGTTTTTCAAGGGTCATCTATAAATACAGTGATGCATTAGAACATTTAGATGCTTGGGAAATATTTATGGTTAAAATCCCCAAGGGTCCCTGGATTAGGAGTGAGCATATTTAGTCAGATTCCTGGGGAAATACTGGTAAATGAAGCTTAGTGGGAGATTGTGCAGTAGGTTTATGAGATCCCAGAACAGAATCGTGCAAAACGGTGACGTTTGAGTGAGTGTCTCGAGGGTAAGGGGCAGCCACAGAAATCAGGCTGATAGTTGTAGAAAGAGGACGAGGCTCCTCAGCTTCAGATGCTGCTTCTGCCAGTTAAATAAGAGCTGCAAAGTACCCAATGAAGTAAGCAGCGAGGAAGCTGACGACCAAGATGAGAACGCTGTTGGTGTAAGGCAAGCAGAGGGAGGCAGAAATCACACTGCAGAGTGGGGAGGAGCACAGACAGCCCTGCGAAGAAACTTCACTGTGAATGGGGATGGAGTGAGTGAGGTTGCGTGGAGACGTGTGGGCAAAGAGCTCCGCGTGCTGATGAACAGGAGAACGAAAGGGCTAACAGTACTAGGAAAGAACCCAGGCCTTCCAGTCCAACCTTTTTCTTTGTCTGGTTAATACTTAACACTAGAAAAACTAGTCCTAATCAGCACGGAGTGGCCAGTTTATATAACTCACCTGCAGTGGAAAGTGTATAATGGTTTGTAATAAAGATCCTGATGCTGATGTGTAAATGGGGGTGGGGCATACTAGGAAAGAAGGAGTAATTGATAAACTAGTGCTCAGAAGAGCAGGTAAGTGTGAAATTCAAAGTGGAGATAACTTCTTAGCTTAAGAAAGGGGCAGGGCACCTCACACAATGACTTATAGAAAGATGCCTGTAAGTAAAGACCCATTTGTAGGTGGTCGCTTCTGTTTCAAGTAAAAGGCAAGTATTCAGCGCAGCTAAATGTAAAATGAGGTTTTTGCTATTTATCATTTCAGATTATGAGAATACTGAATTAGTCACACAGGAAATTTTGGGAGAAAAATCACCAGGACTTCCCCCGGAACCCTCGTTTGGAGAAGTTGGTGATCATGGGAACCATTTAGAGTGGCAGCAAAGAAGTATGACTGGGGAGAAATTAAGATTGCCCCCTTCCCAAGGAGATGGTTTTAGTCATGTGCTCTTCACACACGAATCTCTAGGAAAGAGACACCATCAGGATAATCCTCAAAGAAACCTGGGTCTAAGCAGAAACTCTGTGACATATCCGAAAGTCCATACAGAGGAGAGACCTTATCAATGTGATGTTTGTGGACACAGCTTCAAACAGCATTGCTCTCTAACGCAGCATCAGAGAATCCACACTGGAGAGAAGCCCTACAAGTGTAACCAGTGTGGGAAGGCCTTTAGTCTGAGGTCCTACCTGATTATTCATCAGAGGATTCATAGCGGGGAGAAAGCGTATGTATGCACGGAGTGTGGGAAGGCTTTTAATCAGCGCTCTGCCCTTATTCGACATCGGAAGATTCATACTGGTGAGAAAGCATGTATATGCAACGAATGTGGGAAAGCATTCAGTCAGAGTTCGTACTTGATTATACATCAAAGGATTCACACTGGTGAGAAGCCCTATAAATGCAATGTGTGTGGAAAAGCCTTCAGTTTGAGTTCAAACCTTCTCCGGCATCAGAGAATCCATACAGTAGGGGAATCCTATCAGTGTAATGAATGTGGAAAGTCCTTCCAGAGGAGCTCAGGCCTTCCTCACTATGAGAAAATCCACTCGGGGGGTGAAGAGTTGGCATGTAATGAATGTGGCAAGGCTTTCAGGCACCGATCCGTCCTGATGCGCCACCAGAAAGTCCACACTGTAGATTAACTTGTGGATACGATGACTTTTGACTTAGTTAAGTGAAGTTATTTTCTTTCTTGGCCCACAACACTCCATTTGGAGCAGAGTTCCAGAAAAGATGTAAATGCCTAGGTCTGCTAATAACAGTTCATGAAAGCTTTTTCTGTGACTGTTGAGAATGATGGGTGGGAGAGCCATGACTTTGAATTTTTGTTACTACTAAGAATCAGTAGGAGATAGGAAAGTACCATTGGAACATCACTTCCCATGAGGCTTTCAAGAAAAGGACACATTGACCCGGACATTCCCTGCATCTGATTGTCATCTCACCAGCGCTGACAAGTGGACAGTATGAGCGACTTTGTCACTCTCAGAAAATAAATCTTAGCTTCCCAGATAAGGACAGTTGTAGGATGGTGAGAAAAATCACAAAACAGGGCCTCATTAAATTCTTTTTTGAGCCCAGGAAGGCCAGAAATTAGGCTTGAAGGAAAAACAAAAGTGAATTTAATGTCTGTGGCCAGCCCTTGGGAGATAGTAGGAAAGCAAGCATATTCTGCAGTCCGTAGGAAAGGGTAGGCAGGCAGGGGCCTAAAGGAGAAGCACCAGACCCAGCAAAGTTTTCTCAGAAAAATGCCTGGAAGGGGAACTGAGGGGTATTTCAGTCCAGGGAAGACTTCCCACCAAACAGAAGGAACGGTAGTCTAAAAGGAAAAAAAGCACATCTTCAAAGTAAAAATAGAAGGCCACTTTGTGTAAAGTTTCTTTTGAAGTGAGGTCAGGCTAAGACAGGAATGGAACCAGAAATAGAACATATGTCAACATATGGGCCAGTGGAAAATGTTCTGGTACCTAGAACTCTTGGGCATGAGTTGGTGAGGATCTGTGTCTTGGTTGGGTGTGAGCCCAGAGAAAGGCCTATGAATTAAATTCCCTTGTTGAACAGAGTGGGCTAGAATGTACGTGGGGGTAGGGAGCGTGATGGCTGTGTGTCAAAGAGCCAGCCTGGTGATTAGAAGAGTCTTAAAATCACAGGTCTCCCTTTCCCAGATATGAGGGCTTTTGTTTCCTAAGATGGGTATCTGAGCTGCTGTTCCATTCCTCCTAACCCTCTAGGCTTCCGGGTTAGAAGCTCCTATCGTTGCCATATTTCTGGGAGTATATCCCACCCTTCAAGTACATCATGTTCTCCAAATATATTTTGCCTTTCTCCTAGAGTGTATGAGTGAGACTCTTGAGGCACTACAAACATGTTCACTTTTACTTTGGTGATGATGTCATTGGTATCTCACAACATCTATAAGTTTTGTTAAAATGTTGAAGTGAAAAACAGTTATAGCTGATGTAGAGATTCGCCTTTGAGGGACCAGCAGAAAAATGCTTCTGTGACTAGGGGAAATTATACAGGTTGTTCGGGAACAAAAGACCTATCATTCAAAAAACCTCATAGTTTAAAGAAATAACAGACTTTAACCAAACCCAATTTATTGAAATCAAGAATCCTAATTATAAATAAGAGTGGCCATGAGGATAAGAACAAACACAAGTAATGCTCCTGTTTGGATGAACGTAAATGGGCATGGCTAATCAAGTGAGAATACCAGGAATCCTAAATGCCCATTTTGGAAAAAGAATGGAAAAAAGCCATGGATAGTATAAAGTGTAACTTGGAAAAGAAACAAAATCTGATAGGAGCTACTCGTTCCTTACTCTTCTTTTCCACAGAGGAGGACCCAAGGGAACTGAAAAGGGTAGGGCATTAAGAAATTTGTTAGCTGCCCCCTGGTCATGACACACAACCTTAAGTAGACCAGGATGACACATTGCCTGGCCCTGTGCTTATAATCCTTGCTCACTGTTGTAGCCACGAGTCCCTGTCTCACTGAGCGTGTTCACTTCTAATCCTCTGTCATACATAATGCCCTTCAGGAACTGGCCCCTCCTGATACCATGCCCAAAGCACATGAGGTAAAGTCTCCCTGTCCTCACCGTTATGGTGTATTCTAGCTGTACTTCTTACAAGAGGTTAGTTCATTCTTCTGGAAGTCTGGCATATATTCAGTATTCTTTATCAACACTATACTCCAAAGGCCTCCGTTTTCAGACTTGGTAAGTTCATTGTCTACTTTGCTCATGCATGAGAGTTGAAATTATGGCTTGGGTTAGAGACACCCTAGTGCTCAAAGGAACAGCTTTGTGTAATTAACACTTTAAAAAATCTTGCAGCAGATTTTTCCCTATGCAGTGTGTCCTTTGATGTCTTGACTTGATGGGCATTCTTTTTTTCCCCTGATATGTTTTTTAATTGGTTTGTTTACAGAGTTCATACACATTGTGTTTCACACTATTCTTCATTTAATGTGGTGTTTCATACATTCTCATGCATTATGTGGTATATAATTAATCACCAGGCAAGCCCTGGTGGCCTAGTGGCAAGAAGGTGCACTGCAATCCCAGAGGTGAGCAGTTCGAATCCACCAGATGGTCTGCTGGAGAAGGAAGGACAGTCTCCTCCTGTACCAGTCAGATCCAATTTGATGGTACACATACAAAAAATAATAAATTTTTTAAAAAAATCACCGTTGGACCTTGCCCATCATTACCTTGTCTTTTCACCCAGATTCTTCCCCCACCACCTTCACCCACCAAACTGCAACCCTGTGGTTTTACCCCTACCCATCCTCAACATCCCCCCTTGAGTCCCCATACACATTTTAATAGTTATCCTATTTTTACAGTATTGGTCTTAGGCAATATTTGTCCTTATGAGTTCACTCAGCATAATACTCTCTCCAGTTACTTAGTATTTTTCAAAATTGTTGCTTCTGAGTGCTGCATAGTATTCCATTGTGTAAATGTACCATAGTTTTTCAATCCATTTGGTTGTGTTTGGACATTTGGGCTGTTTCCATGTTCTTGTGATTGTTAATAACACTGCTGTAAACATTGGTGTACAAATCTCCATTTGTGTATCAATTCTGTTTTCCTTGGGTAATATTCCTAGTAGTGGAGTAGCAGAATCATACATAGTGTCTGTATTCACCTTTTTTGGAGGAAACACTGTCTTCCAGAGTGGTTGCACCATTTTACAATCCCACCAGTAGTGTTTGAGAGTTCCCACCTTTCCACATCCTCTCCTACATTTATTGTTTGCTACCCTACACTGCTACTGGGGTAAGATGGTAACTCATTGTGGTTTTGTTTCACATCACTCTTTGCCAGTGATTTTGCTCATTTTTTCCTATGTCTGTTGGCCACCTGAATGTCTTCCTCTGAAAAGTCCTTGTCTTTTGCCCAATCTTTTTCTTCTGGAGGTCCAGGAGTATTCAGTAAACTTTTATTATGAGACAAAATGACAATCCTATCAAAAGCTATCTACATGTTAAATACAATCTGTATAGAGATACCATATTCATTTTTCAAGGACATCAGAAGGGAAATTGTCAAGTTTATTTGGAGAGGAAAGAGACTGAATAAGCAAAGCACTTCTGAAAGACAAAAATGAAGAGGGAAGCACAGCACTCCCTGACTTCAAAACCTGCTCCACAGCATGGTATGGGCATTGTTAATCCAAGTAAAATGAAACCCTTGACCATGTCAATTTTCACTTATCATCATGTTGCTTTTGGTCTGTGAGGATTTTTGTTTGGTGTTAAGGTGTGATCCATCAACGGTTGTAGTCTTTCATCTTCATCAGAAGTGCTTCAGGTCTTCTTTGATCAAACAACGCTGTGTCATATGCATAGTAAATGTCAGTTGTGTTAAGTCCACGCTATAGAATGTTTGAGTAGTATTATAATTGACATACATGTTAAAAATGTATATCCCAATTATCTGTAACTATAATTTACATAGGAACGGGTTTATTAATAAGACAGGCTGTATCTTGGGGCAGTGTCTTTTGAGTTATAAAAAGAAAACAAGACAGATTAGGAGAGAATTGCCAAGATACCCAAATGCCATCCAGGACTGGAAAAGCGCGAAAGAAGTGAGGAGCTTCCTCCAAATCTGAGAGAGAGACTTCCCCTAGAATTGGAGTTCTGGATTTGGGTTTCTGGCCTAACGTGTGAGAAAAGTAAATTTATAAAGGTTATCCAGTTCTAATTCTGTTGTGGTGAATAGATAGTTTGTAGTGCTCTATACCTTAAATGTGGAAGCTGCTTTGGAGTAACGAGGTGATCTCAGGTGGCCTGGTGAGTGGCTAGCTGCACTGCTAACCCAGCGGCTCTGTCTCAGCAGCTCCTCCCGAGAAGGATGCGCAGTCTCTTCTTGTATGTTCTACACTCTCAGAAACCCAGCAGGGGGCAGCTGTGAGTCAGTTCTGACTTGATAATGAGCTGATGAGAATTGAGAAAAGTCTAGATTGTCTTGAATAGACTATTAGATTTACAGACTTCAAAGACTATGCTGGTGATGCCTAAGGGAGTGGTCACAGACATGGCACCAACAGCAGAAGAGAATGTTGCTGTTAATGTGAACATTGCGCTTCAGGTGAGGTTTCAAAAGAAAATAATCATGTTATTGGACAATGGAGGAAGGGTGATCCTTTTTATGCAGTGATAACTGATTTGTCAATTAGGTTCACATGTTTTCTAGAAGGTAGAACTTTTAAGCTATGAACTTGGATATATGGTCAAGATTTCTAACTAAAGATCTTAAAGGAGTAGAGGGGTTCCTTGTCACAGTAAAATTTGAGAGATGGACTTAAAAATTAACTCTGTAAAATAAAAATGACTCAAAAGATTTGCAATGTGATGTACAAACAAGGACATGTGAGGAGGATTTCCACTGAGGATGTGGCTACACATACTTTGTTCAAGCAGGGAATCAGTCAAGCTGAGCCTGAAAGGGGTGGGGAAGGAACAGCAGAAAAGAGCTCAATCTACCTCTTGCAATTCTCCAAGCAGGAAACCAGTGGAGCTTCATCTGTTCCAAGAAAAGGACCATACCCGAAGCACTATAGAAATTAGAACTGTTAGAAGAAGCGCAAAGAACAGGGCCTTCTCAGCTTCAAGGGACAGAACCAT